TGATTTGTTACTTTAAATAATGGTGTATTACTTTAAAAATAATTGGATAAGATTATAAACTAAGTTTGTTTTCTTTACATTATGCTCCTAATAAAAATACTAATAAATATAACTCACAAAAAAAAATAAATGGAAAGATAAAGACAAAACATTTAGTTACCTAATGCTACCAAGGTACAGATAAAAAAGAGGCACACACATTTAAATATGACGAGTATCAATTGCACTTGCCAGAAACAAAAGTTCAATGTTTCCCCAGCCTGGAGCTGGCCACTCACTTACACACGTACAGTGTGTGGTGTATGAGCCTGTGGGAGGGCAGGGGGTTACGAGGGTTCCACTGCACAGAGCCCTGTCAGGTCCTGTCCTGGGTGAGATGATAGCTGGGAGAGGTACCATCCCGACTTCTTAGAATACAATTCAACTTGATGACACGATCTACTAATGTCAAGGTATTTAAGGATTTTTGGTTCACCATGTACAAAACACTGGATCAAAATTAATGGCAAATACAATACAGATTAAGTAACAAAACACATCACTGAGTCAAGAAGATTTAATTGAGTCAAATTTCCCCCAAAAGTTCACTTTTAATATTCCCAATATTTAGAATTGAGAGGCAGATATATACTAGTACAGGTTGAGGCAACAGTAGGTCTACAGTTGTTTGTATCAAAAATAATACAATAATCAATAAGTAATAACACAAGAATAAACTCTGTGTTTTGCATACTTACAACGATAAACCTGCTTTCGCCCCACTGAGGATAGGTCGCATCATTTTAGAAGGTACACACATGTCTGAAAACAATAATTTCTTGTGATTTTGTTCAGACTCATTTGCACATGCAAGAAAAGCCAGCAATGCTGACAGTGATCTCACTGACCCGTCAAATGTGGCAGGTACCTGAGAAGTCTTTGGGGCTATCTGGCACGGGAATCACTGATGGGAAAAGACGGGATAATACGACTAACCCACATACTACTTTCCTCTTCCAATATACTTGCATATTTTTAAAAATAAACTTATTTTGTAAGTTATTACATAATTTCTCAAGTTACAATTTCCAAGTCTAGAAGACCTTCCCCTATTAAAGAAGCTGTTGTTATTGAAACTTGGGTCCTTTTTTGGATTTTTCTCATGCACCGGTCCCTGATAAAATGCACCTCCTCACTACATACCCCTCAAACAAAGTTCTTGCAAAAGACAGCCTCACCATGAATTATGCTACAACTGGAAACCAGAAAAAAAATATTACTACAGCCTTTAGGAGCAAGTGTTACATTTTGGAAAAATACTGTCAATAAAATGTCCTGAAGAAAAATGCAGGACTTATTTTTAATTTTTTCAAAAGAAGAATAATGAGCATTTTTATATCTCAAATCTTTAGTAGTACAATTAATAAGAGTTTGAAGTCTAGAATTCTTCAAATCATTTAACTAACTTTAAATTCATGTTAAGTGAACAGTATTATTTCATTTTGTGAATATCTGAGCTAGAATTATTCTGGCAGCATACCCCAGACATGCTGGGAGTGGGAAGAGGAGGCAGCTACACCAGCCCCGATTAGTACATAGACATAAAGAATGAGAACTCAATCACAGCAACTGAAAAAAATGGTGCAACTAATCCTCAATGTGTTCTTCCAGCGCTGGAATATAATCTACTTAACGCTTCATTAAAAAAAAAGTTTTCTAAAAGAGGCTGGAGGTAGGAGGTTGATTATGTATAAAGAGCTAGAATGTCCTATTTTTCAAATACAGTATTATGGAAAAATTTGTGGTCCAATCAAGAACATAACTGTGGGGGAAAAAATAACATTCACTGAATGTGTTGGTATTGCTTTTGGGAACAGACAATTTGACAGGATGTGCTTAAAGCTACTTACTCCCTAAATGATAGAAGCCAGATGTGTGTCTGCCTACATCTTGGGGGGGAGTGCAAGAAAGAAAGGAGTAAAATTATATATATAATTATATGTATACTTATATAATTATATAACTATATACAAACTAAATATAGTAAAACTATATATACAAATATATAACAATGAAAATGATATATTTTAGTTTAGGAACATTAATAAAGTACTAAATATCTGTATCAGGCATTAAAAACTGCCCCAGGCTGCAATCACTAAAGCAAAGAGGAACTGGACAAAAGGGCTAAGTTGTTATTCCTTGCCATCCCCAGTAGTCCCTGTCCTTCCTGCTGGAAGACCTCATACTCCCTGCCTGTCCAACCCCCCCTCACCCCTTCCCGCTCTCCCCCTCTCCCGCCACCGACCCCACACACTGTGACACCTACACCAAGCTTGTTCTCCTTCAAAGAGCCCCATTTCCCCAAATCACACTCCTCTACTCATTCTAAACGCCCTTTCTTCTTTGCCTACGTTCTCTCTAGAAAGAAAGAAGAAATCTAGCCCTGCGTTATAGGAATTTAAGACAAAGTGCAAATGGTTTTTTTTAAAAGATGAATGTTATACAAAATTAGAAGGAAGATTTTTTAAAATCCTCACCTGAGCATATTTTTTCCATTGATATCTGAAGAAAGTGGAAGGGAGGGAGAGAGGGGGGAAAAGAGAGAAGGAAGGGGGGGGGGGGAGAGAGAGAGAGAGAGAGAGAGAGAGAGAGAGAGAGAGAGAGAGAGAGAGAGAGAGAGAGAGATCAATCCGAGAGAGACACATTGACTGGTTGTCACTCACATCCGTCCCAACCAGGGCCCGGGATCGAACCTGTAACCCAGGAACATGCCCTAGAGCAGGGAGGGAACCCGTGACCCTCTGGTGCTCTAATCACTCAGTAACACACCAAGGGCAAGATAAAGAAGGTACTTTTAATAGGGGTATCTCTATCCCACAACTTGTTACCTAAAACAGGCCAAGATCAAACCATTTTACTATTTTCTCAAATTTATATAAGGCCAGTGAGAAAAGTAGGTGGGGGAAGAGGGGAGAAGCAATTTTCTTTTTTGAGCCAACAGTATATACTTTTACATCCCCCCCCCCCCTGACCCCCCAGCCACTCATTTAACTCTCAGGAAAGTGATAAGTATTATTATCCCCTATTTATACAGGTTTAAGCTGAGGCTGAGAAAGTTTATTTATTTATTTATTTTTAATATATTTTATTGATTTTTTTTTTTTTTTTTTTTTTTTTTTTTTTTTTTACAGAGAGGAAGGGAGAGGGATAGAGAGATAGAAACATCGATGAGAGAGAAGCATCAATCAGCTGCCTTCTGCACACCCCCTACTGGAGATGTGCCCACAACCAAGGTATATGCCCTTGAATGGAATCGAACCTGGAACCCTTCAGTCTACAGGCCGATGCTCTATCCAGAGCCAAACTGGTCAGGGCTGAGAAAGTTTAATTACCTGCAGAAAACAGCCCAAGATAACCAATCTACTGCTAATAACTTTGTTAGTTTAACATGTATTGGGTATCTTTATATGCCAAGCATTATGCTGAAGACCAGGTCTCTATCCAGACTGGGTTTCCCAAATTGGACACTGCAGGGAGTGCAGGGTTAAACCCTGACCACATTATACAGTTCCACCTAATTTGGTAAGTTCCATGGACAAAGTTATGCACATCCTATATAATAAAGAATTAATATGCTAATTATACCGAACAGCAGAATGACTATCTGGATGGCCTTCTGGACAAAGCTGGGATTGTGAGGGCCATGGCAGCAGACCTCTAGTCTACAGTAATAAAAAAAGAAAGATGCAAATTGATGGTATCTTCGTGACACCTATCAGGAGCGAGTATGCAAATCAACCCAACAAAAATGGTGGGTTAATTTGCATATGTAGGCACTGCCCCAACCGCTCCAGGCCTCTGGGCAGCGTGGGAAGGTGGAAAGGTGGCTCTGGGCCGGAGCAAAAGTGGTGCTGACAACCAGGGGAAAGAAGGCCCATTCTTGCACGGATCTTTGTGCATCGGGGCCCCTAGTACTTTAATAAGAAAACACAGCATTGTGATGGATTAAAACTATGGCTTCAGTTCTCCCTGACTCCGTGTTCCAACTCTGGAGACTTTAAAAAGCACTTGTGAGAATAGGCTTGCCCGATCTCTCTTGAGCCTTAGCCATCACTAGGAGAACATATTCAAGCTACTTTACTGAAAAATAAGATACAGCAGAGCAAAGTCTCCCTGGTCATCCCAGCCAAGGCAGCCTAGATCAGCCAACACCCAGCCAACCCCAACATGCGAGCAAGCCCAACCAAATGAGCAGAGCTGCTTAGCTCACCATCTCAGTGTGCAAGCAAATAAACACTGCTGAACTCCTTTGAGTCAAAAAGTATCTGTTTGCTACGCAGCATTATGATAGAAAGATAACTGACATAAGTATAACGATGAACACTGTGGCTCTGGATTTAGGCTGACCAGATCATTGTGGCAGCCAAGTAGGCCATGTTTGTTCAAGCCACCCATTTCAATCAGGGCACAGGGAGTGTCAGGTGGCACTTCAGTTCTTTCTGGCATGTGTACTGCTGGCCAATTACAGGATTTCAGTGAAAATGAGTAAGTAAACTTTGATCAACCCGCTTGGCTAGACTGGGAGGCTTCTTGAGGGTAGGAGTAAGTCTCACTTATTTCTGCATGACGCGGTAAAAGGTTTACAGCAGAATGACCGAGCGGTATTTGCTGAATGAGGGAATTGTAAGGATTTGAGTTATCATTATTATTTTTAAAAAGTATACTTTATAGATTTTTTACAGAGAGGAAGAGAGGAATAGAGGGTTAGAAACATCGATGAGAGAGAATTATCGATCAGCTGCCTCTTGCACACCCTTTACTGGGGATGTGCCCGCGACCAAGGTACATGCCCTTGACCGGAATTGAACCTGGGAGCCTTCAGTCTGCAGGCTGACACTCTATACATGGAGCCAAAACAGTTTTGGCAGAGTTATCATTGTTGTTGTTGTTGTTGTTGTTGTTGTTATTATTATTATTATTTTTACCAAGGAAGCAACAGTGTTAAGACTTGGGTTTGATAAGACCATTCTAGCTGCACAGAGACCAGCTAGGAGCCACCAAGGCTGTCCAGGCAGAGGAAGTGGCAGCTTGGATTAGAAGAAAATACCCGGATTCAAGATAAACCCGGGAGGCAGACAAGAGAAAACGTGAGGACTTGAGGGCCTAAGGCAAGGGGGCCGCATTCCTTATTTATTTGGCTTGTGTTAGCCTTTGAGTTTGACATGTTTGGCCCAAGGAAGTGAAGGAACCAATTAAAAACCTAGGTTTGGGTTTGTGCTCCTGGATGGGCAAAGGCAACTTTCACTGAGATAGGAAATTCTGGGAGAGGAGAAATATTTTAAAAATGCAGACTCCTGATTAGAATTAATCCTAGTTTAAAACCACCATCTGGAACCTCAATCTAAAGAATCGGTAGCATCGATTTACCTGAAGATTAATGTTCCCTGAATATTAAAATATGCCTTGTTACTCTGGTAAAGTTCATTTGCCCTATGTGGTCGCACTGTTCTGAACGGAGGCTGGGCTGGATCTTCGTTAGAGAGCCAAGTACAACCCCGCTACCTTCAAAGGAAACTAAGCTTAAGGAGGAGAGGAGAATATTGCCATGTTTAAAACCAGTGTTAGAGATGAAGGATGAATCCCTCCCTGTTCTGCACATTTTCCAGAGACCTAAAAACTGACCTCGACTTTAGAACATTCCATACAAAGCATGAGCATTTGCTTGGCTCCCTCACACTCATCCTAAATTCCACATCCCTAGAATTTCCCCCAGTGCAACTATTTTTAAAAATCCAATGGTTTACAGTCATGATTCAATTACCCTCTTGAACATGGCGATGGCTTTCACACTGCAGTCTGTGTCCCCATGGAAGCACTGGCTTAGATTGATAACTGGTCTCCTTTCCTGAAGATCTTAGTCCTTAATCAAGCCCTTAAAAACATGTCCTGAATGAAATGAAAATGTTTATTTTACAATCGGATCATTATTGTATTTGAGAATGAGTCATTCTAGAACTTTCTCCAGGCTATGAGGCAGGTAATGTCCATTCCCCCAACCCCCAATCCTAGCATGTCACGCCTAAGTAATGTGTGCTCTTGGCTGCAGAGAGGCCAGCGTGTGACAGACTGGGATAGATCTGTGCACACCCATCAGTGCTTTCTGATGGTGGGTGAGCGGTGTTTTCATGTGTGCAAATGTGGCCTTTGTGAGTTCAAGGAGGAGCTCGGTGACTTATCGGTAATAGATGGTGCCTTTCAAAGGCCAGCCAAACACAGGGATCTCTTCCATCCCCAGAGAGCCACCACCCGTCTAGATCTGGCACAGTGAACACCTTAAAAAAACAGAACCTTTATAATGGCTGGGCTTCCCATATCTCCCAAACCCTAAACCAAAGGGAGGATGAATTCAGAATCTATGAAGTGTCAAGCAGGTAACATGTGTTCTTTTTATGAAATCCTAACTCCACACTGAAGCGTCACGGAGGAAAATTCTCTCCCGTTTATACACAAGGAAACTAAACCTCAGAAAGGTTGGGTGACTCGTTTATAATCACCCCGCTAGGAAGGGTTACCGTATTTTTCGGACCATAAGATGCTCCGGACCATAAGACGCACCAGTTTTTAGAGAAGGGAAATGAAGAAAAAAAGATTCTGAAACAAATAGTGTCCTAAAATATTTTATGTGCATTAAAACCCAACATCACAGTCATAAACACATGTAATCAACCCTGTAAAGTAAACAGCAGCATTTAGAACCATTTTAGAGCCGGGCAAGCACACAGAGACCACACAGAGCCGGGCAAGTAAAAAAACTTTTTTTTAAAAGTATATGTGTAGGCTATATTTGGACCATAAGACGCAGGGACTTTTCCCCCCTACTTCTGGGGGGAAAAAAGTGCGTCTTATGGTCCGAAAAATACGGTAGTCAGAGTTCAGCGTGTCTCTCTGCAGAGCCTGTACTCTGTGCGCCATGTTAACTTCCAACCACACCAGCTGGATCTTCTACTTGCCAATGGGGCTCTCCCTCTTCAGGACTAGATCCATCTCCTCACCATTGCACTAACCCGCCAGGCACCTCCCAGCTCCACTGAGTTCCTGCCTCACCACCTGCCCCTGACATACTCCTCTCAGTGATCACTCTGCTTTGTGATGCCTAAAGGATCCATCTAAGAGGAAACATTCTGAATTTTAAGGAATGATCCCCGTGTTGACTCACAACAAGACTATCAATGAATCCATTTTCCTTTTTTATTGTCAGTAATCTTTGGAATGCTACATAAACATCATTAAAATGTAAAACCTTTTTATTATCAGGCTGGATGGTTTCCTGTGAGCTAACATTTTGTAAGCTATGATACCGCCAGAGTCAGACAAATAGTATATATTGCAGGGGAATCTCCAAAAATTCCAAAAACCAATGGCTCCCAAAGACTTCCATCACCTCTAAGGGGCATCCCCTTAGAATGTTAAGTCTTTAACACATTGCAAGTGCTATTTCCTCCATCTATAACACTCTCCCTAATGTACATCAAAGACAATATACCAGATCGATGCTTTACCACCCAAATATGATTCATAATGAGTTCAGCTTTATTTAAAAGCAAATAATACCATGTTTTCTCTGCACCTTTTCCAGCTGTGAAACCAATTTCACTAAATGTATCTCTGAAGTCTCAACTAGGGCTAAAATGATTTAATTGTAACACTTAACAAGGAAAGATAAATATTAATAGATGTTAGACAAGAATGAGAATAAATGTGTGTATTTTTATTTTTATTTAATTTTTAAAAAATATTTTTTTTTTATTGATTTCAGAGAGAAAAGGAGAGGGAGAGAAACAGCAATGATGAGAATCACTGATCGGCTGCCTCCAGCATGTCCCCTACTGGGGATCGAGCCTGCAATCCGGGCATGTACCCTTGGCTGGAATCGAACCTGGGACCCTTCAGTCCACAGGCCAACGTTCTATCCACTGAGCCAAACCAGCTAGGGCAAATGTGTGTATTTTCAGATGTTTTCTTTAAAGAACTCGAGGTATCCTGGACATTCTCCTGAAAGTGCATAAATCATTTTTCCAGTAAAGGTCCACAAGCATCTCAAATAAACTCAAGAAACAGAAGAACAGAAGAAAGGAGACCCAAAGAAGATGGAAGCCCAGCTTCAGTAAAGAGGAGGCAAGTGCAGGGAGGAATGAACTTGGCAGTGCAGTGAACGGCTGCCCCCTGGGTCACAGCAGCAACCCCACTCACACTGTCATCACTCGCCTTCTATGCTGCTCCTCCTGCCAGTGCTTGGTAATCTGGTATGACCACAAGGAGAAAGTTCCTCTCCCCCGAGATGGTAAGGAAGCCCCTGCCCTTGGGATTTTTATCTTTCATAGAACTAGAGAATATTACTACATAGATGCTCATTTCCTCTGATACTGATGCTCCCTGTACATTTGCTTATGTTTCTGTTTGTACTGCTAGGCGTTATCTTTTACTAAAAAGCCCTATGCCTTGATTACTGGTGTCAGCCTGAGAATGTTCACCCTGAAATGCAAGCAGCTCCAAATCGCAGTGATTTCACTTCCTCATGACAGCTGTGAATTAAGATGGAATTAGTCCATGGCATTCTAAGGCAAATAAACACGTTACACTTTTAAGACAAATACATGAAAAATCTTTTCCTTACTAATTTACAATTAGTTTTGTCTGCTATAGGTATAACTTGTGTTGGATGTTTAAAAATGAGTGGAGGTGTTCTAACCAGGCAACTTGGGTTCTATCACATGTGATATTCAGAAGAAAACGCCAACTGTTCCACTTACGGCATCGCAAAGTGCCTGCTACTATAAGACATCGGCTTTCTGAAGATCCGAAGCCATCAAATGGGCTGGATTGTACTTGGAAGAAGCAAACAGGCGGTAAGGTACATTTTAGACATGAAGAAATAATTACATTATAACCAAGCATGTGCAGATTTCATAGAATGTCAGTAAAATACAAAAAAAACCAAAAACAAAGAACAAAATAAAAACCTCATTGCTCTTCATTTAAAACATTAGTTAACAAATAATGGAAATGTCTTCATATAATAAATGATAGTTTTCCATTTAAATCTTCACAATATTTATGCCAAGGGAAAAATGTATAGTTTTTACAAATACTATTCTCTTTAAATCATGCCAACAATTCCTACTAAAATTTACTGTAAGATAATTCTTAATCTAATTCTCCCCAGCCACTTAAAAAACATAAACATATGACCGACTCTAGTTAAAAATGTATATACCCCCCAATAAATTTAAATGTTAAGAACTACATTTATTTTTCATATATGCAAAAAAATATATAGTAATCATTACAGTGTATGATGGGATAACAACAGATGAATGTTGGGAAATGAAACTTTTTGTCTCCAATCACATTTTGTAAGAACTGATACTTATTTCTTATTGTACTTTTACTAGGGGCCCAGTGCACAAATTTGTGCACCTCGAAAGGAACTGTGGGCCATGAGGCTGCAGTGGGTACAGGGGTGCCCGCACCTGGCCCCTCCCATGGTGGCCCCAGTCTCCTGTCTGCTGGCAGCCCCACTCCCGCTGCCACTGCTGCTCCCTTGTGCTGATGGCCCTGGCCCCGCTGGCATCCAGTGACAGCTCAGAGTGACTGGGGCCGGCACCAGCAGTGGTGTGAGCAGGGCCATTGCTGGCAGTGGGTGTGAGAGGCAGCTGCCAACCCCGAATGCCTCTCAGGAACAGGGGGAAGTAGAAAAGCCTTCAGGGGCAATCCACCTCTGCCTGCTGGCTTGATATTCATAAACTGTCCCCCTGCCTGCCAGCTGATCACCCCTAACTTCTCCCCTGCCAGCCTGATTGTCCCTAACTGCCCTCCCCTGCCGCCTGATTTCCCCCTAACTGCTCCTCCCTGCCGAACTGATTACCCCCTAACTGCTCCCCTCTGCCAGCCTGATTGCCCCTAACCGCCTCTGCCTAGGCCCCTGCCATCGTGGCTTTGTCCAGAAGGACGTTTTGAAGATGTCTGGTCTAATTAGCATATTACCCTCTTATTAGTATAGATTATACAACTTCTGATTTATAAAATGTCTTCAAAATGTATAATTATGAGCAATTTAGTCACAATTCCCAGGTCATGAAGTCAGACTCCAATCTTCTTCCAGATAACCTTACTTTCATTTTCTCCAAATTTCATGATCAGTGACCAGGGGGATACTCGGAACTGCTGAGTACAGGAGCAGCCTGAAGTTGGAGCTAAGTGATCCTTTCCTGGGGATTCCAGTGCTTGCTGAGCGTCAGGCAGAACACACCTTCTCAGCCCTCGCTGTTCATCAGAATCCTTTGAACTTTTAAAAACTCCCAATGCCTGCACCCCACAGCACAGAGAATAAATGAGAATCTCTAGAGATAAGGCCTGAGCATTAGTATGTTTATAAAAGCCTCCCCGATGATTATAATGTGCAGTCAGCACAGAGAACCACAGGCATAAGAGACAGATGGGCGTTCCATCACCGTCAGCTTATTATTGTTAACCTGGTGAGCCAGTAAGCTGAATAGAGGAAAAATGAGGGGAAGCTGCCCTGGACGATGGATCGTGACAGGAGAGGCTGATAGATACAAGAGGACAGAGGCAGTGGCCAGGAGCTCCTCCCACCACTGTCCCATTCTGCACTCCCGTAGGATTCAGATTACCTGCAAAGTAAATGCAAGCAACTCAAGCCCAGAGCACAGTCTACCTGGGAGGCCCTAACACATTGCTTTTCTGGAGACCGATTTCCCATAGGCATGCCAGCTTTCTTCTGGGGGTACCCTTCTCATAAATAAACTAGCTCTCCACCTGGGGAAACTGGCCCATTGAAAAATGGAGCTCAGAAAAAAGACAAGTTGCTACATTACATTTTAAACCGAATCTTAAAGACTTCTTAGTGATTATGATGGGAGTTTTCACTTCATTTCACCCCAACAAAAATGTATTGCTTAACTTTTATACACCAGGGAATAAAGAAGAGAGAGATGAACCTGAAACAGTGCAGCACCAATGAGTTAACCACGTTGGTGGAGAAGGTGGATAGATTAAAAAAAGAACACATCATTCTGATACAGGCAAGGACAGAAATATATAGAGTTTCAAAAAAACAAAAACAAAAACAAAAACCAGAGAAAGGCTAGATAAAGTTTGTCTGGAAGGTTATGGACAGTTTCACGGAGGATCAAATAACTAAGCAGGATTCCGAAGACTAAACAGAAGTCCCCAGACCAGATAAGGCAGGACGGAACTTTTCTACAATAGGAAACAGTCCCTGCAAATGATCTCAGACATGGAACCGCCAGGA